CCGCGCGCCCTGGCCGCCGCGCCCGCGCCCCGCGCCCCGCGCTGCGCCAGGAGACGCGCGTGGTGTGCTATTCCAGAAGCTTCCGAAACGCCAAACATTCGCTTTCGTTGTTTCTGACTTTCGGTGCGGTGTGATAGCGAACATCGATCAAAAGTTTTATTTATAGAGTACGTATGGGTTTACTCTTCTAATAGTAACATTGTTTTGTTTTCCAGGGTTTTCTTCGCAAATTACGAAATAGCCGTTCTCTTTATTTCCTGTTCTTTAGAGTCGTTCTAAAATATAAAATTTATTAACATTCAAATTCTGAAATATTTTTATGAGAGCATAATGTATTCTTTCGCCGTATTTTCAGTCAAATTTATGAGGCGAATTTCCACTATTTTCCAAATGTGCAAACAGTTGTCTCTCCCCCATCTGTCGTCTTATAGGGTAAGTTGGGTATTAAATGGGCGTTTCTGAGCAGTGACAAAAGATGAACCGCAAAACGCTGTTACCCGGCAACAACTTCTTTCATATGCACATTATCAGCGATATGTATACATTATTACATTTGTGAGTAGAAGTTCTTTTGATTATTTCCAATAAAGTTTCTCGAAATCTCAAAAGTTTTCTGCGAAAAAGAACTAGAAATTTCCAGTTTCCAGTAACGCTTAAACGTTTTCTCAAGTAACTATTCCGAAATTTTCAATGAGACTTTCCGCATATAACGAAGTTTTATGTCATGCTTCGGTTTTACCATTAGGGAAACGAAAAGTTAAGAACATGAAAAAAATTTGCGAGACAATTGATGACAGCATTTTTTTTTCTCTTGAAACTTTGTGTATGGATAGTGTGACATGCTCTGAATAAATGCCGTCCTGCTGTATTCTTTTAATGTTTTTAATTATACTTATTACTTTTAATATCTCCCATATTAATATTTACATTACTGAAGATGTGTATACGTTATTTCAATTGTAAGTACGTCTGCTTCAAATAGTGTCTTGTAAAGGTTTACGAAAACGTAATACTTTTCTGTGAACTGACTTCATAATACCGCATTTTCATAAACACTTCAATGTCGTATTCTCAAAAACGGCACGAATTTTTTCTTTAAACTTTATACTGGGAGTGCTAAATTCAGTGAATAAAATAACAATGCCACTTTGATTTGTTAAATTACACAAATGTATTTTTTAATCTCTCCCGCTGTTAATATTAGTATTGTCATTTTCTTTACATTATTGTATTTGTGAACACAAGTGCTTCAAATGATTTCTGATGAAGTTTCTCGAAAACTCAAAACTTCTCTGTGAAATTGTTCAAAATTCACATTTTAAAAAGGGCCTAAACTTATTCTCGATTTTTTCTTTAAACAGTTTTCTACAGTTAGTACAAAAATGTAATTAATAAAATGACGTTGATGTTTTGATTTATTCTTTGGAATTTTTAAAAATTACACATTTTATTTTTTTAAATATTTCTCGGAAGTTTGGAAGAGGGTGGGGCAAAGCCAGCCTAGACTAAAAAGATAGAAAACTAATACGAGAAAGTCTGTGCCATTGTGTGGCATCACAATTATTTTCTTTTTTTGGGACAGAGAAAAAGTCGTATTAAAAATTGGCGGAGTTCCATTTGTCATCGAACTGTCTAAATTTTGATAATTGTTAAACGTGGAAATGATGCGAGAAAGTATGTTTTGTAGAACTATTAGTTCCTAGAATGTATCCAGTATATTGTACAGGAGTCCGTCTAAGAAAATTGCCAATGGATTCGTCGTGTCTATAGGTTGTCGAGCGGAGCTATTAAAAGTAGGCGCGCTGTAACTGGCTTAACTCGTCCCCCTCCGCAACAAAACATTCGCGCATTTTTTGTAGAATATTTTGTGAGGATACGGGGGGGGGGGCATTTCCTTTCACCGGGAGAACCACCCCACCAAGAAACCTCATATAATATCTCTAGTATCCTGAAACATGTGGAACTACCTCACCCCACACCAAGGATGTATAATTGGCCTTCGTCGCGCTCCACTTTTCGTAGCCATTTACCGTAACTCTCTAAAAAGGCGAAGCCGACTGCACCCCGTTCCATTTTCCTCCTTACAAAATTAATTTCTATGTTTACCGTGGTCTGCTTAGCTTTGTGTTGATCGATTAATTGATGCACTTCCGCCTGGTTGCAATAATCATTTGCACTTCCATTTTTAGAGCACTGCCAGAGTTGAAAACGACCACTTAAAAGTTTGTGGAAGCCAAACATGAAACCAACTGCCTCGAGCATCGTCTTACCCCGCTGACTTAACACATAAATCCATACCATGTTCACTTGATTTCGAGCTTTTCTCTGGACTGGTGCGAGAACATCTATTTGCGCTATGTATGACTGGAAAGTTAACAAAAATATTGACACCTTCTGAAATGGCGGAACGATGGCTGAAATGGCGAACGAAACGATGCAGACTTCTTTGTCTGGCAACGAAAGGGGAAAGGGGATTGGCTGGGAAGCGGAGGTGTGTGAATACTGACGGCTGTATGCAGTCGGGTGATTCCCTCTCCAAATCGAGAACCGAAAGGTGATCTACCAATCGGTCACACGGATAAAAAGTTACCCCTTTGCTAAAAATGAATTGACAATGAATACCAAAGAATTAGAAATAATACAATTACGCAATACTAACTCATCAAAGGGATATTTATCGAAATGCTTTATTTTTAAAAGTGTACTTGCAAAGCCTGTGGCGATGCGAATGGCGTGACGTGCGCGTGCGCAGGCGACGCGGTGACGCTGGTGGGCTGGGGCACGCAGGTGCACGTGCTGCGCGAGGCGGCGGAGATGGCCCGCGACCGCCTCGGAGTGGCGTGCGAAGTCATCGACCTGGTCTCCATTCTGCCCTGGGACCGCCACACCGTCTGCGAGGTGAGTGCGCGATGAGGCGTATTTGTGGTTGGTTTCAGATAACGTATTTACGTGATGTACTGGAAGGTTGTTTTTTCTCTAGTATAGGTTTAAAGGAGAAATTATTCAGTGAGCTCTTTTATAATATTATTAGAGGTAAAGCATTATAAATGAAATTCACTGTGATGAATAGTAAAAACACAATTTAATTTTAGTACCAAATTATATATGTTAAAAAATACATCAGGGGCTTCTCATAACTCTGATCTTTAGGGCACACAGAGAAAGTGCTTTAGGGAGACGCTGAAGGTTCCACCATAACCTTTTCTGCTATTACCTGACCTCAAACTTCCTAAAACTACGAAACCGAATTTTGCATCGCGATAATTACCGAATTGTACCGCTAGATGTTCCAATAACACTTCATTTTACACCAGTAATGTCGGTTTTTTATTGTTTATAGAAACGTCCAATTCAAAAATAATTTTCGGCAACATATCCTTAAACATATATAATAACAAGCAAATAAAACTCTCCAGGTTTCTATCATTCTTGAATTGCTTAAACTTTGCCACTATGAACAATCGTAAGCTTCCGGGAAATTGCTAGAAATTCCAAAACATTTCACCTGTAAACCCCTAATTTTATTGGCTTCAGAAATTACACATGTCAACAATTTTTTCTTTATTGATATTGATACTTGTTTTATACTGATAGGTTGATATCCAAAAATGCCTTTATTTTTGTCGCATCACATATCAATTTTTAATAAGCTCAGTAATTGTAATTTAGTAAATGTATTTTGCTACATTTATGGACGTTTTATGATTACAAAACAGGCACAACATAACCTCGTACGTTAAAACAATTTAAAACTCTCAGTTTGTAATGAAGTTGGATCAGAATAAACCACGTGTCCTGATAACGTTAAGTCGTTTAAGGAATTTGTAATCAACGCATTCAAACGCCTGCAAAATCCGCACGTATCTTGGGACAGAGTCAAGAAAGGAATGGATGCGAAAAATTGACTAATGTTGACTAATAACGCATGTTGACTGATGACTGGGAATCGCGAAGTCAATTACTCGAGCGTAATGTTTGAAGTTTTCAACTATATAACATTATTAGTATGGATACGGAATGGATGATGCAATTCCTCTTTAGATGCATCTATATTAATAATTTCCTATCTGCGCTGAAATATAATGCTGTCTTTTATAATATTATTAGAGGTAAAGCATTATAAATGAAATTCACTGTGATGAATAGTGGCCTGCCATGTGATAGGAGACTACGGTTACCTTAGAAAACCAGCAACTGGGAGAAAATACAAACGCAATGAAACAGTTTCGATTTTAGTGAAAACGCAAATATGTGATTGTTATTCTGCCCCATTTTATACTGCGCGTACAAACTGATTCCCCCGACATCATGTGTGGTTTTCGCATCCATTCCTTTCTTGCGTTACTGCTTACGACTGCTCTGCATTGTGGATGAGTGACTTTTTTTTATATTTTTGATTTGTGAACTGTTGCGCTTTGTATGTACTAGTAATGTTATTGCACTATTTGTGAAGACTTTTTATTGAAATATTAATTTATTGCAGTGTTGTACGAAAGTACTTAATTTGATGTCCAATGAGCAGAGAGAGATTTTTGGAAACGCGTATTATGTTGTGTGTGTGTGTGTGTCTCTTATGTTGTGTTTGGTTGTTGCAGGGGTTTGAGCTGCTGTAGACATCAGTTTTGTCACTATTTTTAAATTTGTCGCGTTAAAATTAATTATGGTGTGTTTTCAATTTCCAAGCATTATTTTGCATTCTAACTCAAGATATGAACACTAAAACATCTCCCCCATTCATATTCCTGTCTTCCTTTAAATAATTTCTTTCTGACTTCGTCTTTCAAGTAATATTATGTATAACTCTTTGGAATTTACTAAGTATTTGTATTCTCACCGAGTCATCCAGCGCTATGATCCCGATTCTTTTTAAAACCCGAAATAATTCTTGTTCTTGGGAAACCAGCGGCCCGTGTGCGATGTGTTGTCGAAATGTGCGTTAGTGCTCTTTTCTCGCTGGCGAACGCTTGCCTCGGCGTAGACGTGGACCCCCGTGGGAGGTTCTGTGCCCGCAGTCGTGGAGAAGACGGGCGCTCGTGGTGCGCATGAGGCCGCGCTGACGGGCGCTTCGGAGCGGAGTCTGCAGCCACCAGATGCAGTGTGAGCGTTCACTTCCGCTGCCTTTTGACGCCTAAAAGCGTGTGTTGTGTTGTGTGTTAAAATGTCAACAGCTCACGCTTGCGGAAAAATAAATTAGAAAAATCCATCTGATTTACCTGGCCTGTTTCCGGCTCCTTCCTGTCCTCTCACGCGAGTTTGCCTCAGAAGTGTCTTTACGCCGTCAAGCAAAGTTTGTCAATCCATCCAACTAAATTAGTGAAATATCTTCTGAATGTCACAATATAAGACTACGACGTAGTTTCTAAAGAATCTGTGCTATTATTACGAGTAAAGTAGATATTTCGACGATAAAGCGTGTTTCAACTGTGACGCTAAACCAAATGTAGAAAGAAGCACCAAACCGAAGAAATAATGCGGACAATTTGTTTTTGAATGATTATCTTACGATAATTTGGACTTGTTTTCCACGGTGATGCATCATTGGCACTGTTCTTTGACTTCCGAGTGCACTGTTATATACCGGGTTAACACGATTTTAAAGTTATAGTCTTTACAATAAAATTTGCGATTTTCCTAAATTTTGCAACATTTTTATTGTTGTCGAAGTATTGATGGCGCACCTTACATCCAATTTTTCCGCATTATTAAGTGATAAGGTAACAGGAATATTCACCAAACTCTATAGCAACCGCATAATATTGTCAGGGCCACGGGAAAGCCTAATGTTCGTCATTTCGTGTACCAAAGTGAACGGTTGTGACGTCGCAAGATTACACATCAACCGCAGAAAGCAATTGAGATATTCCCACTGTTAATAATTCGATATCTCGTATCTCGATTTTTGGTTCAAAGGATCGTACATAAAAATTTAACCGCTTATATTTTACTGGTAAAATTATATTATTAATAGTAAACGATATTTTATCTGAAGGTCTGTTAGTAATACTATTGCTTTTCTCTTGTTCTCAAAAATGTTTGGACCATCATCCGTCTGTACGTAAATTGCCTAAACTTCCAAGGGTTTAAACGCTATCATAGGAAGATAACGACAGACATGTATCCGAATCAGTGTCAACGCCATCGAAAGCCGACAAACATAATTCGCTATTTCCTATCATTGAAAGTCCTCTGCCAGCATCTTAGTTCAATAGTTGTGGTGCGAGCAAACCGGTCCTGTGTGTGCTCCCGTTTGAATGGTCCTGCCTCTGCGCGTGGGCGGATCTGGACGAGGAACCTAATCGCCTCTGTAGCTAAAGCCTTGCGCATTCCGCTTCAAAACAGCTGCAAGAGCTGCACGGCTCCGACAAAAAACTCGTATGTTTGGAGGAGGACAAGTTTCTTTTAGCATGTGTTTCACATGTCGGGATCGTAAGTAATGTGACCTGTCGCTGTTCAAACGCTTATCAGAGGCGTAAGATGCCCCTCATCCATACCCGGCTTTGCACTTCGTACTTTTTACAAGCTTTTCCTTAATGATTTGACAAAGATCAAATTGATTCATAAACCTTAGAGGAATTTGTATTAATCCTTTAATTTGGAACATCGAATCTCTATATATAACTATATTATTGAAGTTATTTCGTTTGTTCTCACTGTCGTATTCCTTCATTTTAATTCAGACGGACAAATTTTCCTATTTGTGTGTTTTTAATTTAGTCCACGTGAAGTTGCACATTCGCTATGCATTATTCCTCTGTGTATAGTCATCGCTTACACACATGACTTGTTATTAATTTTCTTAAAGATTTTTACTCCCTTTTGTTTTTTATTTAGATGCTTTGGATTGGAACCCATCCATTTTTATTTCTAGTTTATTTCACGTACATAGATCGTTCCGAGATCTTAGAAAGCAATGCGCGTATTTTTTTGTAAGCCGAGAAAATAATTTTCGAAATGGTCGCGTTACAATTTCCTCTATCTCTTGATGTCAATACTTGGTATGTTTTTTCAAGTTTCACCCCAAATTTGGGATTCTGTCATGGCAAAGATTGGGAAAGGTTACCGGGTAAAGTGTTTTTCCCAGTATTGTGATATGTTTACTACCCAATACAAGAAAAAAAAACACATTGGCTAGTTTGTAAATATAATTTTTGAGTTCAATTATCGTTTTGCAGTTGATAATTGTGTTGTAATCGTAAAAGCTTATGGTTAATTTAATTTTCAGCGTAGATAAAGTTTGACTAATTTTTTTCGTCTTGTAACTTGCTCTCCTTCCTTCCTTCATGCCACATCCCGACTAAAAATGAAGGTCTACAGTATGGCGTATCAAAATCAGTGTTATGAATTTCTAGAAAATAATTTATCATCTCTATATCCATGTCAAGAAGAAGCTACAATCCTAATTAAGCCTGTTTACTTCTCCCAATCGCTAGTCTTCTTATAAGATTAAAACATATTTCAAAGTCCGTTGGAGATGTGTTGTAAGTGTTAAATAGGACCGAAAGGATATACTCTTTATGTTTATTTGCAAACATATTTGTAGAAGATATACTTTCTCACCAAAGGAATATCGTAGAGCAGTCGTTCGCCAAAACTCGTGGAACACTGCCCCTTGGTAATCTCTAACGACGCTTTCTGCATGGCGTTTTACTCTTCTGCCACATCTCTTTCACATCCTTTCCCGACGTCTTCCTGCAGCCTGAGCAGCCGCCCCCGTGCGTCGCCTGTTGATGCGTTTTGATGGCTCTGCGCAGGAGAAGTGCTTCCTCGCACTTTGAGCGCCGGTGAGAGCGTCGTGACTGGCTTCGACACGCCCTTCCCGCACGTTTCTGAGCTTGTTTACCTGCCCGACAAGTGGCGCTGCCTGGCGGCCATCCGAAACGCCGCAGTCAAAATTTAAGGGCCGCTCATCGACTCTTGGCCTGCGAGCTTCTTTTCTTGGCAGACAGACTCAACAGGGTTTCCTATAAGAAATCGATTCATCGGATTCAAACCTTTCCGCGCAGTGGATGAGATGATAAATATATTACGTTTATGCCATATTGAAGTG